AAAAAAAAAAAAAAAAGGCTTCCTAAAATAGGGAAATAAACAGTCAACAAATTAAATCAGTTTCTAAATGACAATCTTCAGGAACTTACTGAAACAACTTGTGACTTACTTGAAGTGACACTAATGGTAAACACCAATGTAGTGCTGAATTAATGACCCTGGTACCTTATAACACAGTGATTCTTAAAGGGACAGATCCCCTAAAAATCTAAATTAAAATGACATGATGTGTAGCCAAGTATGGTGTCCTATACTCAGAATTTGTGATCTGCATTTCACCCATCCAAGTGCACACACACACAGTAGTGAACCTCAGTCGTGGTATTGAAGGTGGGAGAGAGCGCCGTACATTCACTTCCCCCACCTACAATCCCTGCTGGTACCGAGACTCGAACCTTTATTTTTTTTACAGAAACCCTGAATGGCCAACAACATCTTAAGCATTATGGTATTATTTACCACCCGTACATCATTACAAACCCAAACAAACAAACAAAACACAACAGAAAAGTAGTCAGATTCAAAAAATATATATTTTCATATGTTAGCATATGACTTTAAAAGACTTGGAATATAGTCATTTGGACTATGTTTACTACTTTATGCTAGTTTTATATATAAATAAATATATAAATAATATATAAATAAATATATATATATATAGTATGTAAATAAATAAATATATATATAATATATATACACACACACAATTATTATTATACTATCTTTTACCAACAAAAAAAGTTGTTTTAATATAAAAATAAAAAACCAACAAACAAACAAAAACAAAACATATACAATATAAACATATAAATATGCATAGTACTATCATTCCATCTATCCATCAAAATAGATAGCTGAAAATATAGCGGAAAATATAAAAACAAAACAAAACCAATGGAATTGCGATTTTGTGTAAACAAACAAAATAAATAAATGTGATCCTTGCATGGTTTTTGGGATTTACTTTCTAGAACATATAAATGATAAATACATCAACATATATTTTCACAAATTTCCATGAATCATAAATAGATAAGATTCTAAAAACTATAGTTCCTTGAATGTTTTATGGGATTTACCAATTATTTACTTAAAATACATGTTCTATTTTTATGTCATTAATGTTATTTATAATTATAAATAATCATGATAGTATTTATTTCAGTGAATAATTTATGCTGAATTTATGTATTTTTTAAATTAAATTTAATTTAAGAACAAAACAGGGCTAGACACCCTTTATATTTATTATTTTTGTTAAACTAACAAACAAACAAACAAATAAAATAAATAAATGTGAAATGCAAAACATATATTTATAATAAAGGCCATTTCAATTGTGGGTGAACTGTCCCTTTAAGTTCTCTTGTAAACTCCCTCAGTCACTAGAAACCTCATCAAATCAAACTAGCTCATCTGTAGGCAGACCCGCAGTTCTCCGCAGCACAAAGCAGGTTGCAAAACAGCGGAAGCTTGAGCAACGTTGCGTCACGTGACAGACTGAGTCAGCGGGTCAAGCGGCTGATAGTTTATCACAGCTCATAATCTATGGAAACCCCGTGAAAACTGTGCCCATTAAAAGCCCCATTAAAACTGTGAGAAAGTCTGGGGTTGACTGTGACATGCACTCTGGTGGAGCAGCTGAGCGTATGCACAGGTGTGGTCGTGGGTTACTCACTCAAGCACTGCAGGCCATGCTTCCTCTGCAGGGTCTTGCTGCACAGTGAACATGTCGCCCAGGTGGAGAATGAGCCAGGCACGAGCTGGTGGCCGCTCACGCTGCGGCGCCGCACTTTCACACGCTCACGCAACTCTTTCTCTTTGTCCTTGTCTCTCTCTCTGCTTTTCTCTTTCTGCTGCTCTCTCTCTCGAGTCTTACCCTGAAAACAGAGGAAAAAAAGAGACGTGTAATGTTAACTTATGATAGTTACCAAAAGACAGAAAAAAAAAATTCACAAAAAATGTCCAGGTTGCATTTCACCCAAAAGCAAAATAAATAAATAAATAATAATAATAATAATAAAAATATAATTATATATAATTTTACTGATATTTATAATTCAACATGCGATTTTATTTTATATACAAAAAAATAAACAAGTAAAATATATTTTTATTAAATATAAGTTGCAAAGTACATACATCATGTTAGTATTTGTTTCTGTCAATGTAATGTAATTCATGCTGAATTTTAATGTAATTATTCAATATTTTTTTTATTTAATTTTAGGAAAGGCTGGATAAATTTAGGCATATATTTAAGGTTTTACTGACAATTAAGTCCATTTTTCATTTAATTTTAGGAAAGGCTGGATAAATTTAGGCATATATTTAAGGTTTTACTGACAATTAAGTCCATTTTGCAACA